CCCCCCAGGCAGCTCAGGGTGGGGGGAGAAGGTGGCCTTCGAGATGAAGTGTTGTCTCCAAGCCGTGCCAGGAAGCTTTGGCAAGGAGCAGGAGCTGGGGGTGCTGCAGGGGTGTCCAGGCACAGCACCCAAGGAGGGTTGGTGGTGGGGACGTGGCATGGGGACGGCGTGGTTTGGGATGGGTGCAAGGGCTGGAGGCAGAGCAGGGAGGTCTGAGCTTCACTCCCCTCTCTCTCTCTGGTTGCAGACGATCCCATCCGTTTGCTCAGGGAAGTGGTTTTGCTGACGGATGACCGGAACCTACGAGTCAAAGCGTTGACCCGCAACGTGCCGGTGCGGGACATCCCCACCTTCCTCAAGTGGGCCCAGGAGGGCTGAGGGGGGGCCGAAGGGGGGGCCGACGGCCCCTGAGCGAGTCACGCAGCCTCTTCACGGTGGGAGATGGGCTTCAGCGGCAGCCCCTCGCCACGCGCCGCCACCGCCTGCCAGCCCACCACGAACAATAAACGCCACGTCTTCAAACCCACCCCAGAATGGCCGTGCTGCCAAGGGTCCTCCCCCCCATCCTGAGGGCAGACCGGCCGGGAAGGTCATTGCTGTGGATGGTTCACACGGAGGCTGGGCCGTGGAGGGTCCCCACCAGCCTTTGGGCAGTGCCGGAGCGGAGCCGGCGAGCCCCCCGCTGGCTAGGGAAGCTTTGGGTGAGCGAGCCCGTGCCGGATGGGCAGCCTTTTGCTTGGTTTGCTTGGTTGCAGAGAGCTCGAGTCACCGAGTTGGGTGGCTCTTTGGGTTTGGAGGGCAGAGACCGGGCACTCCTCAGCGCAGATTTTGGGATTGCTTAGTCTGGCTCGTGCCCCTCGCAGATCCCGTGGACTTGGAGGGCAGGTTCCTTCCTGCCCCAGCCTGTTGGTCCTGCGTGGCCCGGGCAGCCCCAGGCCTCCAGCCCCTTCCCCACCCCACGCAGGGGTGCTGCTTGCCGGGGCGCTTGTCCTCTCCCAGCTGCGGGGTTTGCTTGTCGAGTTTCGTTTCAGATTTCAGTATAGGTTAGTTTTTCAGGTGTGTGCTCTGCCTGCTTTGCTGGGGAGGGGGGAGGCTTTGAACAACCCCTGTTCTCCCCACAGCTGCTTTCTGTTCTGCTCCCCTGCCCACCCCAGCCATTACCTGCCCCTTCCCTCCCCCCCAAATCCCCTTACTCCCACCCCGCTACCTTTAGACACATTTTGTTTTCAACCTAAAACTCAACACGAGGTTAACAAAATCCTCCGAGGACCCCAGGACTGGCTGTCCCCCGTGTCCTCATGGCCATGGGCGCCTCTTACGTGTGGGATCTGGCTTCTGCCCGTGGCTGTGGGTTCAAGCAAGGCTGGAGAGAGCCAAGGCAGCACCCTGCTCCCACCACTCGCCCAGCTGGGAGGGTCCCCCCACCTCAAGTTGCCCCTTCACCGTGGAGGGAGCCATGAAGTGACCCCGCTGCCTCGTCACCGGGTCATCCCGCACCGGGAGCCAGTGCTGAGCCCCTACCCCCACCCCACACTGTCCCATCACCAAGTGTCCCATCCCCAGCCCAGTTACACGCCAGATCCAGAAGCTTAAGAGGGAGCATTAACCCTCGAACCGGAGCCCCTGGAGCTCTGTCAAGTCCCAGTCCCAGGAGCAGGGGGTGGGAGTGACCCCCAGGTCGTCCCCGCTCCCCACCGGGGCGCCGCGGCCGTGGGAGGGAAGCCTCAAAGGTGGCGGAGGAAGCAGTAGGACTGAGCCCAGCGTTTTTTTCCTTTCCTGCGTGGGTGGCTCGGACCCGGTGCCTGCGTCAGGAAGCCCAGTGTCACCCCTCGTGCTGGCCACCCGGCCAGGACTGACACCGGGCAGGGGCTGTGCTCGCCAACCTGTGCTGGACCAACACCACCCCAACTTTGGGACACTCTGCGGGGCAGCTGCCGGCGAAGGAGGGTCCGTGCTGCTGCGACAGAGACTTTGGGGCACCCACGCCTGCTGCAGGGCACATGGAGCCATCCCCCGTGGCCGAGGCCACCCAAGGGCCACGGCGCCCACGTCGCAGTTCGGGGCTCCCAGCCGCTGGCTGGAAGCTGCACAGAGACTTTGCCTTCTCCTCCACGCCAGGTGTATTTAAATGTTTGTTTTCTAACGGAGTCGCCCCAGGGCTGCTTCACGAGGCCCTTCCTGGGGTACCACCAGCTCACAGGGACCTGCGGGCCCAACAGATGCCGGGGGACAAGGGGTCATGCTACCACCGGGCCAGCTGGCCACCGTGGCAAGTGGAGCAGGGGGTCCCCGGCTAAAGCGCCCCGTGCCTGGGGCCATCGGTGCCGGGCAGCTGCGCCGATTTCCCCCCAGGGAGCCTGCATCTCGGGGAGGCGGCCGCGTTTGGGCTATTTTGTTAAGATGTTTTTAATAATTTTTAGTATTAAACACTTGTCTGCGCAGCGTGTTGTTTCATTTTGCCCTCGGCGGGCGAGTTGCTGTTGAGGTTGGGGCTGGGACACATAGGGGGAGGGAGGGCAGCGGGACACATTAGTGCTTGCAAAGAGGAGGGTGGCCCTGTCCCACCTGCAGCTGCTGCTGTGTGTCCCCCGCCTCGAACCGAGGGGGCTCCAGGCAAACCAGACGCACAATGAAGCCCCTCACTCCCCTCCCTGCAGCTCTGCACCCCCCCGGGGGTCACCCCACTCAGCACCGACCCCACACCGACCAGGTGTGTGTGTGTGTCCCCACCAGAGAAGGACACGAGGCCACGCGTGTTAATGTCACTTTATTGCTCATTTCGGTTTCGACTATAGAAAAAAAAAAAAAAAAAAAAAAACAGTAACTGATAGTTAAAGAAAAGAAAGCATCGATGGGGTCTGTGAAGGAATTCCATCCTTCTTAGTATATGTAAATAAAATTTAAATACAGTCCCTAAAGTAACCATAATACAGTGGATCCAATGGCAGAGGCTGCATGGATGAGAGAGTACACTGGAAATCTCCACAGCTTCCCATTTCCTATGGAGCCCAAACCTTTCTTACTGCCATGGAAGATACTTGTCTTCTGACAGCATTGGTTGTTGGGTAAAGAGCTGTTGGCATCACTCAGGTCTATTGAAATGCTTTGGTCTGAAGAATCTCTAGAAAAAATGTCATGTAAATATTAGTTCAAATTTGAATATGAATATGAATTTGTCTGCATTTGTAACCAGTTATACTTTATTTGACTTTTTCTCATCTAAATATGTCTTTCCACTGAAGCCAGAATGTTTCAAAAAAATGTGTCAGTTTTAATGAAGTTTTCAATGGGAATGTTCTAAATATCCTGGCTTGTCTATTTAGGCATTTCCTAATGAGAGAGTGAAACAAAGAAAGGGTTGGAAAGATAAACACACACACAAAAAAAAAAAAAATCTGTCTTTTTTTTGGCCTCAAAGGAGATATATGAAATTTTATGGCTTAGAAACATTCCAAAGAGTTTGGTTTTATTTCCAGTGTGGAACAAAAAGGCATCACAAACCATACATATTTTCACAGACTGGGAAATAACATGTTGCCCTTAGGTTAGCTCTAGGTATGACATTTTGTGTTTGCTTCCTGCAAACAATTCAGTAGGTCTGTAATAAGAAATACTTATGGAAATATTTTCCAGCTTGAATTCATTAGTAGTTACAAAGGCAAATTCCACTTGACTGTAATTTTTATATCTACAATTTTTTACGTATCTTATGTTGGCCTGTATAAATCAGATCTTTAGAGAAAAGAAGCAGTACTTGCAAACATAACCAACCAGTACCATAAACACATAGGACTCTGAGGATTATGCTCAATTACATTTCAAATAATATGTCGGTTATATTGACTCTGTATGTATGGGGTATCAATTATATTGCATGCAAATATATTTTAATTTCACATTTATACTGGTTTCTACAAATATTTTGAATTTAAGAGTAAAAAAATCAATTTTGATTTTTCCACTGCTGGATGAGAAGATGGAACTGAGAGGATTCATAAGGCTGCACCTATAATTGCAGTTAGCCATTAAATAGACACAAGGGTGATATGAATTTCCCTTGGTCAGCCCAAGTTCCCTGCAACTCAGGAAGTTGTGGCTGCTCTTCCTGCCTCTAAGGAGCTACAGTGTGAACAGGTGTTCGTAGCAAACTGTGTGTCTCTGGTTCTTCACAATGGTCAAGGACACTAAAGGTCCAAGGAACATCTATGCCCTCTGTCAAAGTTTGTCAAAAAGCACTTCCCCAAATCTTAAGATTAACTTGATTTAGGGTTTATAGCAGAAGGTCAAAAACTAGAATTAGGATGTGTCTGAGATTGAGAACAAATGTCAAAGGTGCCTGTAGTAATAATTTTAATATCTTAAATAAATTTCCCAGATAATATATGGAATACAATCATATTCCTCATTACAAAAGGAGACAAAAAAACCTATTCAGTGGTCCCTCTAGTCAGATCTGGGAAAAACAATCTTCCTAGTTGAAATTTAGCAACTGGATTTACCTCAAAAAAAAAAAAAAAAAAAAAAAATAAGGGCGAGGAGCCCGTGTACAAATCGGACGTGATACAGAGGGGGCTGGCGGACCCCAGCTGTGCTTTGGGTGCTGCTGCGGCCACCGCTCGCCCCACGGCAGCTCCAGAGGGACGCTGCCTGCCTTGGGGAGCCCCTGGGTGG